GTTGAATCTTCTAGCATTAGGTCAAGGTCTCGGAGGCTGAAGGCGAAGGTACTGCTCCCTGGTTGTTGACTGGCTAGGGTGAAAGCATGAGCAGATATTTGCCTGGGTTGAGTTTGACCATCGGGAGCAACTAGTGGGCGTTCTATTTTAGGTCCCGGCTTGTTCACATGTTTGAGAGTCTGATCCGCTGTGTTGTGGTAGGAAATGGTCGTCTCGAAAAGGCAGCAAGAAGACTCTAGACACGGTTCACCGAAAGTGATTGAATGGTCCTTCCAGTCAACATAGGGACAGTGCTTCTCTAGCCAGGGTAGACCGAGTACAATATCGTGCTTACAATTTGGAACGACGTATGCTGTTACGGTTTCTTGGTGGTTACCGAGGCTTAGGGGAAACTCTACAAAACTTGATATCTTCGAACGTAACTTACCCTCGAATCCTAGGATAGCAATTGGCGATTTCAAGGTTTGGAAGGTGAGCTTGAGGTGTTGAGCAGTTTGAGAAGACACAAAAGCAAAACCAGAGGCGCCAGTGTCGACGAGAGCAACTAAATTTTCATTTTTTATCCTAGCATTTACATACATGTGACGAGAAGAAGAAATTCCAGAACAGCCCAAGTGTACTACTGAATAAGACTCCAGAGAGCGAATTGTTGTTGGACTTAATCTTTTAACTGTTCCTGGCCTATTAAGTTGTGGCCCTGGGTATGCCATGTTACGTGCTGGGAGCGGGCAGTTCAGAGTGGCATGGTCGGATCTGTTACAACGTATGCACCGGCCGAGTAGCCTTCGAGCATCTTTTGCCTGTTGAGTTAACCGGCCCCCGGGCTGTCTTTGCTGGGAAACAGCATCTAGGTCCATTCTTAACCCACCCTGAGATACGGTGGGTTTGAACGCTGCGGTTATATTTGGTGATTGGAAGGGGAGAAGAGCGGGAGCAGGAGTGACGAATTGTCGTGTATTATGGAAGGCTTGTACGGGCGCATTAATTACCTGTATGTTTGCGTCCTTCTTTCGCAGATAGATGACAAATTCGTGATATTCCGTGGGAACATCACTGGCCGAGTTTAGCAATGTTCTGAGCTCCTTGGACAATCGGCGTTCGAGCATTGACTTCCATTGGGACTTATCATGACTGGAATAGGTTGAGTCAGCGAGGTTGTCTTCGAAAAGAGATATAAAATCATGAAAACTCATATCTTGCTGGTACAAAGTTTCCACCATCCGACTAGCTTTTTCTGTTAGGCCCGGATCCTGACAACGTTGTCGGAGAGCATCATAAAATTGTTCAATTGAATTTATCTCCGAGGGTATTGTTGGGTCCTCGTAACAACGGAACGCTGTTCGCATTTTGGACAGGGCCGCAGGTCCAAGACAGCGATAGGCATATCGAACTTTCGAGCCTTCGTTTGGAAAACATTCGGCTTGATCTATGAATTGGTTCTGCAATTGGGAGCAGAAGGACCTCAATTTATCTGATTCGCCGTTAAATGGTGTAATTGAGGGGGCCGAGGGGCGGTGTATAGTAGTTGGGGTTCGAGAGGGAAGCGAAGTGACGGCAGTAGGGTTAAGGGAAAAGCTGGAAGCTGTCGCGTATATTTCCGCGACGCGCAAAGAGTCGATGTTAACTGCGAGAGCCAGAACACCAGGGGCGTTTAGGTAGGCAATACTCCATAGCTCAGGAGGAAGCATTGTAATCTCTGATTCAGTGGCATCCATGTACTCGCTTGGTGGCGAGAACGGGTTAGACATGGGAGTACGGGATTTATTTTATAATTTTATATTGACGCTTTGTAATGTCAGGCGCAGGTTCACTAGGCGCAGGACTCGAGGCGTAGGAGAGGGCGTAGCGTAGGATGTACTGAGGAAGGACGCCTCGTGGTAACGCGGAGGGCTTTCTAGAGAAGTGGTAAAAGGGAAAGCGGGGAGTCGTTCTAGATAGAGGGGCCGGAGGTGACAGTAGGTCACTATGTTTGGCAGAGGACGAGAGTGAGATGTGATTAGAATAATGTAACTATTCCTAAAGACATAAAACAAAGCGTGAAGATATCAGACTCGGAAATGGAAACTACATAGGTGCCCTCGCTAAGCAATAAAGACTAGTGGGATTAAATAAGGAACCCATAAATCCTGCCTGAGGGATTTCTCAAGAATCCTTACAGTATCCAAGCTATCCACACTCTACTTGGCAGACCGGCCAAGACGATGTACCACCGCACCATCCAACCATGGCGGTGTTCATAGTGCCGCCTGCACTCTCGTGGCCGTAGTCTTGGCACGCACAAAGCTCAATTTGTTAAAACTTCTTGCCAAAATTCAAAATCCCACGCCCGTCGAGACTGTATCTATCCTCTGCATCATCTTGTGAACTTGTCCTGGATCCTCTCACGTCCATCCCAAAGAACAGTCTCCCAGATTTGTGCGCTGCGCTTTGTTTCCTGTCAGGTGCAAATATTGGCGTAGGCGTGTATCTGGCGACCGGTTGTGGCCAGAGAAAGTCGACGAGTGGTGTGGTCATTGGAATAAGGATGTACTAGGTCGTACTCGTAGACTTGATGAGGCTTGGGTATGAGTCGAACTCTTTGGGAGTGAAAAATTGTTGTGGTTGAGTATTTTTAATCATTGCCTCATGGGCCAACTTCTTTGATGTTGCGACATTTGACTGAACTTAGCTCTGGGAGAATATTTCACTCCCAGGTTCGTAGAATATGCCGCGAACAGGTGTTCAGTCTTGCCTCCCTCTGCACGTCCTTTAATCGTGAGATATCTCTATTATCAGATGACATCTAATTCAATCTCCTTGGGCAATATGGCATCATGTCGATTCTAGCTGCCGCCAAGCCTAATACTTTAGCGCCTCGAATAATTTCTCAGTTTTCTCTCATTTGAAGAGCCTTACTATTAAGGATGAGATTTATGTAAAGCAAATTAATATCATGTGACCTATCTCGCTTAACCTTCATGATCAGGAGGAAATGCCACCCCTTAAGTCGTAACAGTTTGGCAGATATGTATGGGAGCAGTCACATCTGTAAACCATGAGATGAACAGAGCTGCTCTATGATACACGCCGTTGGTGTCAAGCGACCCGGATACGAGCCGTCCTCACCAGATAATTTGCAAGGTTTTTTGGTATCTCCTAGTGTGTATGCAGTTATCTACAGAAGGCACATGATCATTACGAAGTGGACATATGGTAAATAATGCTTTTGAGTTTTGTCAATCTCATACTCTGGATGTTATTTTCAAATACCATTGCATGGGACATACGCAAAGTTTAGATGTGAGACAACGGTAACTCTGCAATAGACATCAACAAGTTTGTCGTCCAGCATCACGTTTACGTTACATCGAGATCTCGGAACATAGGCTTTTGCAAGGATGCCGCGAGAATTACATTTCCCGGCCTCTCGCGCCCCATCATCGTAGATTCGGTCCTCTCGATACACCCCGTCATGTCGTCATTGAACCCCCTGCGACACAACCATTACCACCGTCCACAGAAGAGAGCAGATGGATGCCCGACGTGCAGCCGTTTTCACCCAGGAAAGTATCGTCGTGGATCCAAAACCTGACGTATCCGACTGTGGCTGAAGACGGTCCTAAAAGCACTACCGTCCCTGCGTTCCATGGGGAAAAGGCTAAGTTTTTTTTTGGGAGGGGGGACTGTTCTGCTTGCTCTCCTGCGTGGAGCCCTCGCTTGCGGTGGGTTTTAAATGCAGCGCTCAAAGGCCGGCGAATAATAAAAGAATAGGGGTGCGTAAAATACTCTGGGCTGATGAAAATGTCATAGTCAGCGAGGCGTGATTCAAAAACGCCCCGTGAACGAGTCTGCACGTGCACTCGCAGTCGGCATGTCCAAGTTATTAATAGGTGCATTGCGACTACCCCGCCAACCCACGTTGCGGCTCGAGACACCGTACATGTGCTCTTGGGCTGTTGATTGGTGATGATGTAAGAAGCTGCCATCTATCCTCGGAAATCTATCTTTCGGACGTTTGGAAGACGCTTGAGGGATGCTCGACAATTTTCATCTGCAATCGTCTTGTTTGTTGGTGGATACGAGTCTCGATGTTGCGCTTTGGGGCTTCATGCAGGTCTTGACGAACTCTGGTAGATAGACTGCAGAAAGTATTTTGGTTATTTCCTTGGCTATCATTCATCACTCTACATCTCAAGGCGTACTCTTGGATGTCTGCTGCCTCGAGATCATTCAGTTGGCATTTCGATTCGTTACGAGCCTGGTCCGACTCTGCCACTTCCGACTCGTGCCTCTTTGTCCGCAGCTCTTCTACTGCCAGTCGACCGAAACTCTGAGGATTATGCCCTGCCGAGGATCCACTACTGAATTCTAGTCCGAAGTACGGCGCCGTTAATGGTGGCCTCAAACCCTCTATCCTAGACCAACGGGGGCAGTCAATGACTAAGCGCTTGAAGCAACAAGACCAACACCCTCACTGGCAGCATGGGTTCCTGACTCTAGGGTACATGTAATCTGAACAGGATTGGAGTCAGATTCTGTCACTACCAGCCTATCTAGCAGCACTACTCGCGGCACTTTGGTGGTGAGGATAGACGGAAGAGAGCCATTCCCACTGCCCTCTCTTGCCTCTGATTCCTACCAGACGGTGTGGCTACTCTGTGGAAATTAGACATGCTTTGATAATGGTAAAATGAATAGCACCTCTCTTTTTCAATCTCTCATTGCGCTTGTCGTTGACCCAGGAAGCCTCGCCGTGCTGTCTTTTTTCCGAAACTCCCCTCTGACGGGTCCGACTAGCCTACATCCCAGTGCCGGGATTCCGCTACTGTCCTGCCCTTCCATCAAACACGTCAAGTCCCTTATTCCAATACCTGTCCTCTCCTCGCCAGCACAAGTGGGCTCGTTTGAAGGATATTTTTCTCGGTAGGCTAGTTGGGAGTACAGGGATGGGCCGGTATCGCTAAAACGGGGATTAAGGGTACTTGTATCTCCATCAAGCCGTCGTTTGTGCTAAACCATCTCCCTCCACTTCTTCCGCTTGTCGTTCTCGGTTCATACCTATCCATTCCCTTTCCACACATCGGCAACTTCCCCTTCCAATCCATCCAAGCGAAATTCAGCAGATATCACTCCCTCTCAGCCCTCAGTCCTCCGCCATGCAAAGTCTACAGACCTATACCTTTCCGCGCGACCGTCTAAGGTTAACGCAAACTGATCCGCAGAGGACACCTCTGGTTCTTGTCGCATGCGTGAGCAGGCGAATACCGTGCCAAAAGACCATAGCTAACCTACATTCAAGGGCTCTTTCTCGCCAATTACTTATCTGCATCTACGCATGTTTGTGCTCGGGCGGGACTATGCCAAATTCAACACTAATTTTGAAGTCATGGGTGGATACATATCGCCCGTCTCAGACTTCTACAAAAAAGCTGGCCTCGTCGACTCGTGTCATAGGCTTCAGATGTGTGAATTAGCTGTTAATGAAGATCAAGGTTGGCTTATGGTAGATTCATGGGAAGCTATTCAATCGCGCTACATGCCAACGGCTCAAGTCTTGGATCACTTTGAACATGAAATAAATCAAGTGTGTGGAGGCGCCATAAAACCAGATGGAACTAGGGTCCCCATGAAGATTGCCTTGTTGGCGGGCGCCGATCTAATCCAAACAATGTCCACGCCAGGCGTCTGGAGCGTAAGAGATCTCGAGCATATCCTTGGCCAGTATGGAATATTCATCATCGAACGAAGCGGAACAGATCTCGAGGGCGCCCTGAATGGGCTGGAACGATGGAAGGATAATATCTATGTGGTCCAACAACTCATACAAAACGATGTTTCTTCTACCAAGATTCGACTCTTCTTGAAAAAGGACATGAGTGTCAACTACCTGATTCCTGCCCCCGTCATCAAGTACATTGAAGAGAACCGACTCTACGAGAATGTCTCCTCATCGGACGACTCATTGGCCACAGTCAAGAGTAAACTCAGATGAGCGAGGATGTGCAAGGTCGCTCCATACACCCCTAGCCAAATAGGCCCCCAAAACGTGCTGTATCCAAACCTGAGCTGTCTGATCATTGAAGCTCGATGATGGAATTTTCAGGAAGATGATACTTGCTGATACCTCGGGAAGGTACAACTCGCGTGCGAGTTCAAGGACGAACAGTTACTCGAGGACTCGCTAGGTCAAGACCCTCTCACTTCGGGCGAGGATAAGTCCCGCTAGAATATCGAGTCAATAGATTAGGACAGATATCTAGCCTTCAATACTAAATATGAGATTAGGCGGGCTCTATGTATTGTTAGAAGAACGTATATCTCGTTGCAATCACAGATTCAGAAGTAGCAGGGAGTTTACTGGATGCCGATCGCATTGTTGCGGTTGACTCACAAGCTACCTTGAACACTTCCGCGACTAGCGCGATTGCCGTAATGCAGATATGACAAACGTGCATTACATTCACTGTGTTTATCCAGGCGCCAAAAACTCGTGCACTTTCTCATGCTGCGTTACGTTCCGTGCATTGGGATCGAGACTAATGCAAGAAGCTCCCGGTCCAATCCGCTGCAAGCCGTGTACATGATGTGCCAATCCCATGCGGCCGTTGCAGACATTTCGATGGTTACGGATTTCCTCTCAACATGACTCAGACTACGATCCATCTGCAGAGACCGTCCACATCCTTTAGGCCAAGAATTGTCTCGTGTCCCTCGTCATCGCCCAGGCTAGGTCTAGTGACGGTAAGCCAGACTTCTCGTTGCGTCATGTTGTGGATTCCGCTGCTAGAGAAGATTTAGATCAGTGACCTAATCTGCGTACTTCCTCTCAGCGACGCACTTTAACCAGGCGCTGCTGATGGAGATATCTCGTTAATGCCTGCAAACCCCGGGTCTACTAAGGATTACTGAGTTATGCACTCATGATACGGTAACTTCCATCATCCCGCGAAACCATCAAAGTTAACCTCTACTTATAGCTTCCAGTTGCGAGTGTATTGTATAGGGCTGCCCTATCCTGAGCTCAGCTATAACTTTCGTTTCCAGCCAGTGAAAGCGGGGCACCACGTCCCTACAAATAGAAGCGGAAACTAAGTAGCGTTCAGGGCGAGTCTAGTGTGACTTGAAGCACTTTATTTGCTATAGTCCTCGAGTGACCAGTAAAAGTGATGCTTGTTCCGATATATCCCATACTCCAACGTTGGATCTCAACTGTCCCTCGCCTCATTGAGAACTCTTAGCGTCGAGCCTCTTGATTCTCGAAAGCTTAGTTTTAGATGGCGCCCAGAGTCATTGCCATGGAGCCGGTCGGTACTCGGAATCTGTGCCAGTTAACACAGAGCCGTTTCATATCCCTAGGCAGGCTCCAAGTGATTCATGCTGATGGGTTCTACATTCTGCTTATCACACATATTGTCTTGGAAAGATTCCCCTGGACTATTCCTCGCATGGACAGGGATAAACACGAATTCTGAAGCTGCAAAATCTCCAAGAGATGGAGGAATGGTCTATGGGGAAGTTCAAGATCAAAAGTATCCAAGAGAAGATGTACAGACATCTACTTATCTCTGATAAAGCTCATTAGTAGTCGAAATAACGAACCTTACACAAATGCGCGCTACATTTGTTCTGTATTTCCTGATATCCCGCACTACAAGTGTGAATTGCATCTCAGTCTCCAAGTCACTTGTAATCTTCCATCAAGTAGATCCCGTTTTGAGATAGTCATCAGATATCTCACATCCATCACCGGGATTGACAGGTAAATACCAAGCTCTGTCGCGGAAGCTATCCGAGCCGCCACAGCTGTCGGGACCAGATGCAACCGACAATTGAGGTGACTTGCGGGCCACGAATGTTGAAGACCGAAGCTAGAGGCCAGATTTCATAAAGGCGAAGGTATCGAGCCTAGACTCATGGTTCGGCACCAGAAATGATACGGTCTGCTCTGTCAAGGCAGTAATTCCCCACACTAGTCCACTATCGGTGTCCGCGCAGCCAATCGATGAGATACCACTGGCCCATCCTAGTGGATTGAAAAAAGAAAATAGACTGATGCATGTAGATTCTGCAAGATATGGTCATCTACTGAAAATCTCTCAGACCATGCTGGCTAACGGCTGGCATTCCTCTCCGTCATCCACGCACCCGAGCTCTCTCAACAGTTGAGTAGCTACCGGGCTGCAGCGATTTTGGCGGACTTTTATTGTCTGTGTGTCTGTCAACGGGTCCCCACTAAGATCTCGTCAGCGCACTTTACATTTCCGTAGCCTCATGAACCCTTCAATTGTGGTCGCAAACGCATTGAGCGATTGCTGTATTTTGTGCAAGCGGGACCCGACGTAGTCATGTTCCTCCCGAGAAGGCGTCGCGCAAAGATTCTATGACGCTGGCATCCGCCCACTTCGAAGGTAGAGCCGCTCTGCACCTGTCTTTTTTCTAAACCGTACATTGCGTATTCAGCTATCTTGCTGCGACACATATTTGATGCCTCTTTTGACGTTAGAGACTCTCATACTCTGAGGGGGGTTATTCTCAACAATTGTCGGTGGTGTCCCCTATGAACTTCTAGCTCCACCGTCCTCACCTTGAAGATTCCCAATCGCTTTCGCCGCTTGTGTCGTCTTCATCCCTAAGCACATCCCCCGATCACCATTATCATGAAGCTAACCACGACTAGATCAGATGGTAGGTTCCAAGCCCTACTCATCATCCACCCTTGATGATGAGGAAAAGCCATCCGATGAGTTTGCGGAGCGGACCCAGCACCCGATACGGCGATGGTGGAATGGATCAAGTCGGCCTCTACTGTAATAAAAAAGGGAGGGATAGATGAATACGCGCACCTCATGTGGTCTTAGTGTCTAAGCCTCGCCTGGCTGGGACTGCAGCTTTTTTGAGACTTTTTCCTGCGCACGCAGTTTCCATTGCTACCATTTTTATTTTTTTTCGGGCAGAAGGTAGCGTGGAAAAGGTAGCTGAATGGCTATTCATCACGGGCAATATATCATTAATCTCACAAGTAACAAAAGAGGCAAGGAGCACTGTACAAGGTGTGGCCTGGGTCAGAAAGCAGCTCAATGTGCTAAATAGTCTTTGACTCACGAAGCACAATAAAAAGCATCACTCACTCATACTCTTAGTTTCATTCGCAAATACCACCATGAGCTTTGTTTGCTAACACAAGCAGTCGGCCCTCCTCTGTAAATACCCACCAAAAGGATTTCAACCACTTTCTTTGTCCGAGTATGCCTTGGTAATCTACGTAGAATTGTATCGCGAGAAATATGGTTGTGTTTTGCCGAATTTGAACCAGCGGTCTCCTGTCGAGTGGGATATGTGTCAGAGCTATCCTGTCCTTCTTGGGGGACCGGTCCAGTGAATATACCACCGCACCATCCAGCCATGGCCGTGTTTATCGTGCCGCCTGCCCTCTCCTCACCAGTCGGCGGTGTACCTCAAGAACTCCTAGCTCCCAATGTGTAATCTGCAGAGACAAGATTGACTAACGCCTTCATCCTCAATTCGGTGAGGCTTCTCAATCGTTTTCGTGATCTGGATCGTCCTCATATCTCCGCTTATTCCTTATCACCATTGTTATGAAGCCAGTCACGATCAGATCAGATGGTAGATGGAGACGCACCTCGTGTGCCTTCGGTACCAAGGCCTCACCTGGCTGTGACTGCAGGTCTCTGGGGATTTCTCTCACGCACACAGTTTTCATTGCTAATTTTTTTGGTTCAGAAACTTCTGTAGGAGAGAGATGTCCTTATTGTACTACTTGAGTCATAGACTATCTTGCACTTGGGCACCTTACTAACCCAGGCCACATCTTGTATAGTACTCCTTGCCTCTTTTGTTACTTGAAAGATCATTGATATATTGCCCGTGATGAATAGCCGTTCAGCTTAGTGTTTACCCGTGGAATTAAGCCACCTTTTCCACGGAACCTTCTGCCCCAAAAAAACGAAATGGTAGCAGTGGAAACTGTGTGCGCGAGAAAAAGTCTCCAAAACCCTGCAGCCACATGAGGTGCACATATTTATCTATATCTGTTATGCTCAGCTATGTAGTATGGTAGATCTAGTAGCTGGTACATGGGTAGTTATTATGGCATTATGGCGCATGAAGGATATCTAGTCTCTCCATGACAGCATTACAAGTAGGACTGTGTACAGTGCGAGAGATGGGTCACTGATGTAGGACAAATGGCATAGTTGCTCTGTTGGGGGCACACTTTGGTGTACTGCATACTGGTTACATGATCGGTCTATAGGTGAACAAGCTAGGGGATAAGGGACGAGCTTCCCTCAATCTATAACACAATAATTATCATAGTAACCCCACTTCTGCATATTAATCAAGATATCTCACCACAAACTATCTTGGCTGTTCCAGCGCAAGTGTACATTCCCAAATCATATACCAATCATAATAATTTCTCCCTTCTTTGTAACAGTCGAGGCCGACGTGATCCAATCCACCATCGCCTTATCGGGTGCTGGGTACGCTCCGGAAACTCATCGGATGGCTTTTCCTCCATGATCAAGGGTGGATGATGAGTAGGGCTTGGAACCTACCAGCTGACCTGATGGTGTTTAGCTTCATGATAATGGTGATCGGGGGATGTGCTTAGGGATGACGACGATACAAGCGGCGAAAGCGATTGGGAATCTTCATCTCGGCTCTACAGTGGAGCCGGGGGTCCGTACGGGACACCACTGATAGGTATTGAAAAATGTCCCCATCAGAATATTAATGATCCGGGAGATTTTACTGATTTTCTCTATAGACTTTCTCTAGATCCAGCGAGAATTTTGCGGGGGAAGCCCGAGCTTCAATCTAAGAAAGTAATGGACAATCAATATCGGTCAGACTTTTTTGCTGTATCGGTCATAATATTGACTCAGGCCCTGTGACATGTAGCTCATTACGTTGGAAAAAGGGTGGATGATGAAGCCTAAGAGCAAAAGATTCAAGATTAGAAAGTGTAGA